AGTACCTACAAGACTACCACAGGCACCCTGCTTGTGTGTGAGCAGGGACTGAATTCCAGCTGCAGTCCTCTGGGTAAGCACTGAGACCTCCTTATATAGAAAAAGAAACATTTTTTCCTCATTTATAGAAAGGTTACCTTATGGGTAGCAGCAGTCTAGGTCCTTAGCTATGTAATTCATTTTGTCTGATGCATGTGGTAATAATCTCTATTTCTTCAATTGTTTTTACATTCAAAAGTACAGACTGAGTCCCTGTGATGTGCTAGACATGGAAAGCAGAGTTTGGAATCATTGGTGTATGATCTATGGCCTTATGGAGTTTATGACCTCTTAGGAAAGACAATTGAAAAGAAATAATTGCAAATGTGAAGAATGCTAGTGTAAAGAAATGTGTAGGATGCTGTGGGATCATATGACAGCAAGCAAGTCAAAGGTCACAGGCACTCTTCCTCCTTCTCATGTCAAATCTTGAGTGCTAGTGGGCAGTTCTGAGACTTTTAGGGAGATCTTTAGAGCCAGTCAAAAATAATTTAGACCACTTGTTCTTCAAGACATTGTTGAGCACTAGAACAGTCTAAGGACTACTACGTATCTCAAAGCCAGTCCTGAAATGGCCATCTGATGCTGCATCGTGTGTGTGAGGAGATGGGTCACTCCTTTGGCTTGGAGGCAAATGCTGACCGAGGCTTCAAAACACCTAAGAAGGACTCTGATAGCAGATGCTATCAGTATACTGCCCATAATCCCTGGACTGTGACAATTCCTTTACACTTTGACCCTTAGCGTCCTTCTGTAAATACTAGTACACTCCAGCCACCCCTGTCGACTCTGCCCATGTACAATTCAGTCTAGACAAAGTGCTTGGAATTGAATTTCCTTCCATGCCACCTCCCCTTGGTAGGAGGATAACTATCAAGGCTCCCCCATCCCTTTGATGGAATAACTCTGGAACATACATGTCTCTGCTGTTTCCCTGTGAGACTGAGTGCCTCTTGCCCACAGCAGTAACCTACTTGAGAGTGTAGTGGGAAATATGGGGTCAGGACACTGAACTGGAAGTAACACTTTATTTGTGGTGCCATGGCTCCAAGGGATAATTTTCAAAGTCTGAGCCCTAACCATAGTAGGGCTTTTACTTTTGTACATAAGCAAGTTTTGGGTACATCAAGGTAAGGGAGTTGGTGCGATCTATTGGAGGGTGCATTCTACATTCCTTACATGGGCACAAGCTTGTAACAGCCTAGGGACTCTGAGCTCATACAGCTCATACACCTTTATAGCACTAAGCCTCAAGGGAGATTGTTCTGTCCCTGTTGCTTTGTTTCCTGTATCTGCTACTGTGTTTATCCATAAGATGCCGTTAGTCAGCCACTGCAAGCCTCTATGGCTAAACTCAGTCAGCAGAGCTGCTGTGTATGAGTGGGCAAAACCACAGCCTGTCACCTCTTACACTGCTGAAGTTCCCACTTTGCTCTACCACAATAGCACACATTTTGAAGACTTTCCCTTCCTGTCTCACTTCCCCACTCCCCTCCTGGTGACTTCTGAAATCACCTTCTAGATCAACCACTTGCTCTCAATGCCTTGTCCTCAGGGCTTGCCTTAGAGGAGCCCCACCTAAGAAAGACCTAACTAGTACTCCCCCGTGAAATCTTTCTCTGTCTGCTCCTCTAAAATGGACATACTAAGAAAAAGTATGACATTTGAAATAGATAACTCAGAGAAATAGCAAGTGAGTCATACTGTATGGCTACCGGTCCTTAGATGGCTGATTGTTACTGTAATCATGCTTTTGAAAATATAGCTGTTAGTTCATTGAGTCACTGCATCTGCAGCTGGCCGTGTACACTGTAGCACCAATTGCAGTTTTCTTTTCAAAAGGCATCTCGTAATAATTTGGCGTTTTTGCATTCATACTCATCATGACTAGGACCAATTCATTACATGGTGCTTGGGGTGGGGAGCACTTCAAAACAAAATGGAGACCATAGAAAATACATTTGGCAATATCATTTTTCCCCAGAATACTGTGTTTCACGTTCTTCTAGTTCATAATTCCTTTTCCAACTGCATTGTTTACTGTTTGACTTGTTGTCATGAAAATATATTGATTGGAGAAATACATTAAGGTCCAATTTATGAAAACAGACTTCTCGTACTTCAAGGAAATTCATAGAGCTCTATTTAGAAAAGGTGATGAATGTGGCTTTCAGTAGAATATCTGCATAAATTATGATTGATTTGCAATTTGTCACCTTCCTTGTCTTGCTCCTCCTCAGCAAAGAGACCTCATGGTGCATCATCAAAGAAGGAATATTTTTAGGGAAGTGATAATTTGGCAGAAGTGCTAGTAATGATGGGAAAAAGAATTTAAGAAAATGTATCCAAACTAGAAATTTCTACAGTTTCAAAAATAGCACCTTGAAAATGTACACTGATCCCTTCAGCCTTGGGAGATATTCTCTTCTTCAAATAATGTCTGAAAATACATGTTTCTCTGAGTGTTTGAGCAGCTATGGCTTGGCCTCAAACTTCAGGGTGTGGCAGTTGGATGCAGAATTATTCCCAGAGCTGTTCCCAGCATCCCAATCAGTATCATGGATGGCTCAATCTTCCTAACTCTCATTATCTTGTACATTTGTCCCTTGGTATCCACAGCATCATGCACAGATACCCAAATCCACAGATTTCAAATCCCTCATATAAGATAGCACAGTGTTTGCATATGACCTCTGTACATCTTCCTATACACTTCACATCAACCCCACATACTTAAGGCACCTAATATAGTGCACACGTCAATAGGTGTTATACCATACTGTTTAGGGAATAATGTCAAGAAAAAAGAGACTGTTCATGGTCAGTGTCAATGCAATTTTTCCCGTGATTGGTTGAATCCGTGATTGGTTGAATCCAAGGATGTGTATATGGATGGTCCATCTGAACATGACCTTGGCCTCCATACTGTTATGAAATGGATCACTGTGCATTTTCAACCACCTTTGAAAGAGGTTGCACTGCCCATTCCTCCACCTGTGCTTCCTCATCTCTGTGCTTGTGTTCACTTTGCTTTCTGCCAAGAGTCCATTCTTTTCATCCTGCCAGCCAATCAAACCCTCCTTCAAGATCCTGCTTAGTGCCAACTTCCTTCATGAAGCCTTCTCTGTCAACAGTTCCCTCCCTCTCCTTCCCCAAAGAGTCCCAGGCAGAAGGCTGGGTAGACTGTGGTGGAACAAAAATGACCTTTTGGGTCACATTGCCAATCCTGTCCCTGTCCCTAATTCTCATCTCCTGGTTCAGGGAGGGAGCTGGGAAATGTGAATGTTATCTTTCCTTCATCCTCCAACATGCCTTCACACTGGATCTACCACTCTTGTGTCTCTCCTTATATTTCTACCATGAATTTGAGTTGTTTACATACGTGTAAGTTTTATCTCATATTTCATCTGAAACTCAAATGCACTTCTCCACTATGGACTGCCCTATTGCTCACCTGTACCTATCCAAAAAATCACTCCCACATTTGTCATTAAATCAGTCTAGCAAACAAAATAAATAAATATGTGTGTCCTAATAGTGTGAATGAATTGGTGATGTGTAAGAATAGTGAAAGGGTTTTGTTATACATAAAACTTCCAAATTTTATTCAACTTTTTTCTAATACCCTTTTTTCCTTACAAGTTCTTTTTCCTGCCAGGTATGGTGGCACACTCCTGTAATATCAACAGCTCAGGAGGCTGAGGCAGGAGGATTGCAAGTTCAAGGCCCTAAGCAACTCAACAAGAACCCTGTCTCAAAAACAAAAACAAAAAATTAAAAGATTTAGTTTCTTCACAGAAAAAAGTCTTATTTAGGATCCAGGCATCACAGAAAGCACACAAGTATTCTAACCATGTGTGTTATATTTTTTTCTCCTGAAACTTATGCTGTTTTCTTCTTTTCAAAGTTCAGCACTTTTAAGTTTTTAGAGATGTTTCAAGCCTACAGAATAGTGGCAAGAACTATTGTATCCATTTCATGCAGATTTTCCAACTTTGAACATTTTCATACATGTATTATCTATCTTTGGCAGGGAGAAAGTAAATACAGATATTGATATTCTTTTCTGGTACAATACCCTTTATCCATAAGGTGTTTGCCTCTTTCAAAGTCTATCTTCTTCACGGTACTACTATAAAAATGTCCCCAACTAGGAACCCACACTGATACAGCATTTCCAGTCAATCCCCAGACTCCATTCACATTTCACCAGCTGTATGACTAGTGACTCCTTTTGTCTTCTGGCTCGGATCCTATTCAGGAAAGTGTATTACAATTATTTTTATAAAATGAGGTCTTGTTGTGTTGCCCAGGCTGCCCCCAGTTCTTGGGCTCAAGCTGTCTTCCTGCATCAGCTTTCTGAGTTGCTGAGACTAAAGGTACGCACCTGGCCATGTATGTCGTTTAATTATTTTTCATTATTTTCTTTTGATCTGGAAAGTTTCTCAGTCTTGATCCTGTCTCATGTTTCCTGGACTGTTTTATACTGTCCTTTATTATCTTGCAATGTCTTTTATATTCTATACTGTCTTACAATGTCCTTTATACTGAAGAATGACCCACTAGCTGGAACTTCCCTTCATGATATAATTTGTCATGTTTTCTTATATTCATTCTCTGTAATAATACGACAGAAAGGATTCTGAGCTCTTTTCAGTGAATCATGTCATAAGGTAACTATGTTGACCACGTCTCCACCCAATCACCTGGTCAAGTTGGTGATTTCTAGGTTTCCCATCATCCATTGTGCATTTTTTTTACATTCTAATACAAAATAATATAGTCCAAGCTCATCTTCTACTTTCCCCGTCCAGCCTTGGATTCAGCCATTCCTCCAAACAGCCCTGTGGAGGATGGTTGTAGAAACTAATATCTGAGTGCTTGTTGTGCTCACTGCTCCCACGATGTAATTATTTCTAGATCCACCCAACACACAGAGCTAGGAAATACAAGCACATATGTCCACACAAACACACACATTTATTATTTCTATGTCCCTGTGTGTAAGGGTGTTTACACACCTCGTGTGAATTCGTATCAATATTCTCAATTCAAATCCAAGCCTTTCCCCCTCTTCCACGTTTATAAATACCTTCTCAGGAAGTAAGAAGCTTGACTGCCATTATTCCCAGCAGATATACTCATTTGCTCAATATCATCCTTCCCTGTCCCCACCTCTGAGCTCGTCCCTCCCTGCCTCCTCAGATGCTAGATACACCACTGTCCCCACCTCCACATGATACCTCCCTGCCCATAATGGCCTGCCTCTTCAGCTGAGGGACACGTTGCCCTTACCACCCACTTCCCCAAGACCTGCCTCCTGAGATGCCACCCCTCTATCCAGGAGGGAGGGGAAAGGGAAAGGGAGAGAAGATCACCATTTACACCTTTGAATATGAATGAATATGATGAATTTGGGGAACCCCCATACTCTTTTTATAACACTCGCCCCTATGTTAAGTGAACGATTTTTTGTAATCCCTTCATTTTCCTTCACTCCTCTGAATTACCTCCCTCTCTCCGAGGTTGTGTCTAGGCATAGCTGCAGACAGAAATCGTTTAATAATACTCAGCTGAGCCAACTGAATGGGAAGTTCAGACCTAGAAAACTAGGGGTGCCGGCAATATAGGCAGTGACATCAGGGGACCAGCAGGTGGCGATCAGGGGTGCAGCTCAAAGTCCTCAATACCCTCTTCCACCAACTGGCTTCTCCGTCCAAAAATGTTGACAGTCACAGCTCCCAGTATCTCAACAGATGTAAGTGGTGAGAAACACATTCTTGTTATTTTCCTTCCCAGATGCCAGTAGTAGGAAGACAAATTAAATCCTCTTAAGATATTTTTTCAAAACATCTTATAGAGCACAGTAGAAAATGTCTCTGTGTGATCTTTAGCAGGAGTGGTGTTTTCCACACTCAGAGGGGAACTACTGTAGAATGGAATCTTGGGTAGTTCCAGGTCTAATTGATAGGCAAGCCTCTGTAGGAAAAAAGAAAAACAAAGTGAGTCAACGTGTCTTCCCTACTGATTCCTCAGACCAGCAGATCCTTAAGCCTTATAAAGTTTCCTGCCCCTCTCCTTTTCCCCAACTACAAAACTCTCATTCGTATTGTTTTTCTTGTGTAAATAATCTTACCCTATGAAAATATAAAATGAGGTGGGCACAATGACACATGCCTATAATCCCACCCACTCAGGAGGCTGAGGCAGTAGAATTGCAAGTTCAAGTTCAGCCTCAGCAACTTAGCAGGACACTCTCAAAATAAGATTTTGGTTTTAAAAGGACTGGGGATGTAGCTCAATGGTAGAACATTTGCCCAACATCCAAGAGGCCCTAGATTCAATTTGCAGTAGTGCCAACATGCAAGTGTGCATGAACACACACACACACACACACACACACACACACACACACACACACACACACACGGATTATTGGCTACATTCTTGGTAACTCTAATGGAATAAAGCCACAACAAGCCCTGCCTAAGTTACATTACTATAAACCGTATATCTCAGGAGCCTGGTAGAGATTTCCAGGTGGGCAGGAAAGTGACAAAAATTTAAAGAAAAAACCAAAAAACAAAAAACTCTGACCTGGAATCTGTGGCAAAAGTAAAGAAAGCCGCCATGGCTTATATATGGCCTCATGAGTGCTCAGAGTCCCCCATGCAGGAGTGGAGAAATGAGTGTTATCACTCCTGCCCTCTGAAGCCTTTCCATTAGAAATGCTGCAATTTAATCTCATGTGTCACAATCAGACTCCAACTTGAAAGCAGCCTTGCCTGAAAAGGTGAACATATCCTGTGCCGCACAGAAGGCACCAAGGGGCTTTCAGAGGAAGCGCTGTTTTATGCCCACAGCCTCTGCACTTCAAGGGTCCACTGTACACCCATATTCAGGGATTGCACATGATTGGTACATTAGCAACTTTGGGGAAGTTTCATGACTTCTGATGAGCTGTTGAAATTCCTTTTGAAATTCCTTTTGTTCACCCTTTATTTGCAGATAATAATCTCTTTCTCTTCAGTGGTCATATTAGAGGAGAGTTTTTTTTTTTTTTTTTTTTTAAAGAATGCTCAGTCAAGGAACTAAGCACTTGGTAAACAGAGAACATTAACACAGTATTACTTATCACTTATCATTATTTGTAATACCCAGAGCTAACAGCTTCATATTATTTGTTTACCTTAATTTGCTTAGAATTAGATATTATTTTCAAAAAGCTGTTTTGCAGAGGAGGAAACTGAGTCTTAGAGAAATTAAATAACATTTCTGCATCGTACATCTAGGAAATGGGTATGTTCCAAAGTTTATATGATCTTCCTGAAATATGCTGGGACTTGGGCATTGGAAATAGTTTCTCCTGGCTTATTCTAGGGAGCATCACTAAGCAGAATGGAATGCATCTATATCATGATTGAAGAGGGCAGTTACTTTTCTTTTTTTATATATTGTTTTTGTCTTGTATTGATAACAGGATAATATTTACCTTATGAAATCAGTGGAGAATAACTGCTATTTTTCTATCATCTGGGAAAATTTGCATAAAATTAGAATGGTCTCTTCCTTTGAACATTTGGAAAAACTTGCCTATAAAACCATCTGGCTGAAACAGACATTATTATTGTATGAATATATGTGACTGCATGACCAATAGGTTCTGCAACATGTAGATTCAGAAAAATGAGAAATTATATCATCTATGTATGATATATCAAAGTGCATAAATGCATTCTAGTATCATGTACAAGTAATTAAAACAAAGAAATTTTAAAAACCATCTGGCATGGTATTAAGAACTTTCTCCAACTCTTTAATAGCCATGGGACCATGTTATTTTTTTGTTATTTCTTATGTCCATTCTGGCAAATTATAACTTTCTAGGCATTTATCTATTTAATCTAGTTTGTTTTCAAAAAACTAGCATAAAGGTATTGATAATGGTCATTTATCTTTTTATCTTAGCGGTATTCATATCAGGCTTTTTATTCAAAATATTGCAGGGTTTTTTCCCTTACCTCTTTTTTAACCAGTCTTGCCAAAATTTATCTGTTTCATAATTTTTATCAGAGATTCTTTTTTTTCAAGTTTTTTTGATCTTCTCTAGAAAAAAAAATATATTTTCTACCTCCTTGATTCCTGCTTTTATTTTTAATGTTTTTTTCTAAAAATAATTAAAATTTTAGATTAAATTGTTTTTCTTTTATAAATACAACTATTTTCACATATTTAAATTTGACACTTAATAAATGTTGAGTCTATCTTCTAATGTGACTACATATTTTAATATGTAATATTTTCATAATTATTTAGTTTTAACTTTTAAGTATTTTGAGATGAAATACTAAATGGAAGAAAATATGCTTATGAGGATAGGGATGTTTCCTATATATAAGATTAAAAGTTATTTAGATTATATATGCAATAAAATTTTGTATAAAGGAGGAATCTAGGACTCAGGAAGATTACCTAAGGTGGAGAAAGAAGATAAAGTGGGAGAGAGTTTGATGGGAGATGGAGGTCAGTGCCAGTAATAGCTTTTGTTTTGTATGTACCTTTTTTGGGTACTTTACTTACTGCACTTTAAAATATAGCATCTGATATAAAATCAGGAAAATGTTCATAACATTGGAAAAATGCTTACCATGCAACAGTTGAAGATATTATTTACTACTAGAGTTGTTATTATAGATCAGTCACCGAGCTCAATCTGTGATGAGTCAAAATCCTTCAGAGGCCATGATGGGGGATCACTGGAAAGACAAGTCTTTCCAGTTCTGTGAGGTAGAAGGCTTGCTGTCCATGGAAGGATCCCAGCAGAGGCCATTTGCTCCTTCCTAGTGGTCTTAGATAAGAGACTCTGCTTCTCGCCTCCTTTCTACTAATAGAAATAGCCTCAGGACAGGCTATATCTCCCTGCTCACCTCATGCAAAAGGTTATTTAGGGAGGGAGGCTGATAGGGCAATAATAAGGGCTCTAGAGTTTCCTGGAGCTGAGTTCCAATGCCAGTTCTGCCATTGACCAGCTTTGCACCTGTGATAAACAATCCCCATCCTCAGATCACCTGTAAAAATCATAATACCAGGAGGATGTAGTCAAATGAAAATTGGATTATGCTATGCACTCTGAGTGGAGGGGGAAAGTGCTCTGTAGGAGAGAAGAAAACCAGATTTGCTGAATTCCATGCGAGCACCTGGATTCCCTAAGACTGTGAAGTGAGCTCAGATTACTTCCTGAGACAGAGTAATGAGTTGGTGATGAGTGGGGTGCCCAGCGGACATTCAGAGGGGAAGTCTGACCTGCTGTCCTCCCTTCCCTTTCTGCAGCACACATGATGTGAACACACAAGAGGAGTCTCCTCCACTGAGGCTCAATTATTTATCAGAAGTATTTGTGCTCAGTGACACATGTGGCAGGTATAAATCCATGGGTTCTTCCCCCTGGAATGCTCTGGGCCAGTTATACAGCAGGGACCCTTTAAAGCATCAGCACTGAAGAACAGAGATTGATTTCCTTCCCAGCCCTTTTTCTTTCACACATCTCAGGCTTCTTGGGATTTCTTTGCAGTGCAGGGCTAATGACTTGCGATACCAATCGATGGAAAGCTAATTAATTTACTTCACAATTTTCATGTACTCATAGTACCCAGGGGTTCCAATGATTTGTTGTTGTTGTTATTGTTTGTTTATTTGTTTTTAGGAGTCTATTCTTTGTCTTCCCTTTACACATGGACTAATTAGCTCCTGATGACTTTATCTGTTGATGGGATTCAAATTGTGGCTGGAGTGCAGAATTGCAGGGAAGGTACACTGAGCTTCCACAACTTCTATGTCTTCCACCTGCTGAGTTGTGTGACATTTAGTGAGTAAGTGGAGAGAAGGAGTCTCTCTCTCTCTCTCTCTCTCTCTCTCTCTCTCTCTTCCTCTCTCTCACACACATTATTCTCAATCTAGAAATTATAAATTCTTCACTCCCCAACTTAAAACATCATCCCCTCATGATAGAATTAATTACTTAGTTTAAACTTTGAGTTTCATTTTAAGAAATATTTAGAGAATATTTCATGGACCAAAGATTACACTTCATTTTATTTATTATATATATTTAGTAGTATATGGACTCAATGCCTTTATTTGCTTTTATGTGGCTAGGATTGAACCCAGTGCCTCATACTTGTGAGGCAAGTGCTCTATCACTGAGCCACAACTCCAGCCCCTACACTTCATTTTATGATGGCATAATTGAAACAACATTTTAGGAATTGCAAAGCACGTAATACAATTGAGAAAACAAGGGATACTGCTGTGATTAGAATATGGGCTATGAAATTCACCCAAGTTACATTTGAATCTTAGCTCTGAAGCTTATCATTGACTAGTTTGAAGTAGGTACATTCTACATTCTTTGCATCTCAAGATCCTCAACTGTAAAATGAGGAGCAGAGTATTCTGGGAATATTTCAAAAATGAGTGTTTGAACAGCAATAAGATGCCACCAGATACAATTACTAGAATGGCTATGAGCCTGCTGGAATCTCAAGAACTTGAGAGGCTGAGACAGGAGGATTACAAGTTGAATGGCAGCTTCAGCAACTTAGTGAGAACCCTCAGCAGCCAAGTGAGACTTGTTTTCAAAAATTAAAAAGACTGGGAATGTAGCTCAGTAGTAAAGTGCCAATACCCAGTACCAAAAAAAAAAAAAAAAAAAAAGGCCCCGATGTTCAACATGGCACGCTAGAGAGAATGTAGAGCAATAGGGACTCTCCATCATTGCATACAGAAATGCCACCAGCCACTTTAGAAAACAATTTGGCAGTTTCTTGTAAAACTAAATATACTCCCACCATATGACCGCACTCCTGGATATTTACTCAGAGGAGCTGAATGCTTATTGTCCATTCACAAATCTGCACATTGATATTTACAGCAGATTTATTCATAATTATCAAAACTTGGAAGTGATTCAGATGTCCTTC